TTGTGACTGAATTACTGCGCTATTTCGCGGAGCCGATTTTGAGACCGCTTTGCGACCAACTTGTTTCTGTCGCAAAAATGGGCGGCCTAAAAATAAAAAGAACACGATTCTGAACCGAAATTGAGATTTAAAATGCGACCGAATTTTTCTTGCGAACCGCATAATTTCAGCTCAGGATCGGTCCGCAATTTTTCGGCGCATATTAAAACGACGGTCGGACAAATTAAAATTTGCGACCGATTTAAGATGACATTTGCGACCGATTAGTGCGTCGCAAATATTAGGGCGTTTAAAACGCGCCCTCTTTCTTTTCCTTTTTTCTTCTTTCTTCTCTCTCCTTCTCCTCTCCTCTTCTTCTCCTCCGGTCCGCAGCGGTGCCTCCAGCCCTCCTGAAACGCTCCAGGCCCACTGTGAGCGCCGCCAGCCGACGCTCCAGTCACTCCTCTAAAACGGCCGTTCGCCAACCGCTTTTGGACAGCATTTGTAGGTAAGCCGCGGACCAGTTTTATTTTGTTTTCCATTTTTTTTTTTTTTTTGCCGATTTTTGTGTTTTTTTTCAATTATTATGGTATTGTTTTACTGTTATTACTGTCTGAATATTTATTAATATTGTTAATATTGTCTAAAAATGTTCTGTTACGTGTTATTATCTTTTTCGAAATTTTTTTTTGCGATTTTTTGTTGTTTTTATTTCAATTTATGTATTATTTGTACTTTATAATTGTTAATATTATTAATATTGTTAATATTTGTTTAATGTTTTACTTTATTATTTTTTCCAATTGTTATGTATGTAATATTATTATTTCGTTTATTACTTATTGTTACTTGTGACTGTGTTTGATTAGATAATTAATAACATTACACAAATTAATGGCGGGATTTAATAATAATAACGATTAACTAATAAAATAAAATATAATTGTCATTTCAATTAAGCTTAATTGCGATTATCATTAAATCTTTGATATATTCCATGTAATTATAAAAAATTAATAAGGGATTTTGAATTGAATATATGAGAAATTTTCAAAATGAAAAAAAATAATATCTATGTCAGATTGACATTAAAAAAAGAAATCGAAAAAACATTATTTTTAAATTTGAAAACAAATAATTAACAGAAAAAAAAATATTTCAATTTAGTGCAGAAAGATGATCCATATCTTAAGTATTGATCACATTATCAAATTATCATCTTTTGTTATTTAATTGAAAACATATAAGTAAAATTTATTTTAAATTCAAAAAATACCAAACTTTAAATCGGCATTCATTTTAAAATTTATTTAAAAAAATATATAACTATAATTATATCAATAATGTATACAATCGAATAATTTATCTATGAAATTAGGACATTAAACCATCAATAATTAGAGGGATGGAGTTGGTAAAAAATCACTACGTTACAAAGATTCCAAATACATTAACAAAAGAATTCTTAAAATATTTTAAATAAAATTAATTAATTATAGAAATATTAACACTATATAATAAACAAACAAACAAAAGATTTCCCAAAGCGAATTTGGTTACCTGGATGAGAAAGTATTGATTTTTGGGATTCTATTAGACATATTTACGATCAATATGATAAATATTTTTTATTATAATTTTTAATAATTTATTAAATTATGAAAGAGTCGGCAGCAACTCTTATTTAATAATTATGGTACTTTCAGAAACAATTATTTCGCGAAGTCTAACCATCTTACGTCAAATATAGATAAAAATACGTTGAACCACAACAAATATACTATATAATTTTATTTTGTCATTCTCAAAATAAACTTACTTTGTCATTGTTGTTACAGTATGCATTTGAACAAAAGTGCGTTTTTGTTTAATTTATTTTTTTAATAATTTTGTTTTGTTAATTTATTTTTTAATAATTTCCACCGTTTCTAATGGATAACGACAACTTGTTTGAAAATGCTTTCATTATATTTCAATTAAAATATTTTATTAAATAATTTTAACATTATAAGTTAAATAAAAAAAGAAAAAGTTAAACGGCTAGTTAATAAGAAAAGATAGAGGTGGGCTCATTGGGGCCCAATTTAATAAGGCGATGGTTTAAAGGGCCTAAAGAATTATGGGCTTTTATAAATACGCGTTGTTTAGTTATAGTAATTATCAACATGTACTTCCTCCACTACTGCCTAAGTTAAAATTAAAAAGAAACCCTCACTAGAATTGAATTTTGCGTTTTAGGTTAATTGAAATTGAATTTGAATCAGGGTTGTGATAATTGTAATGAGTGCTGCAGTTTTTTATCCTAACACTTTGTTGATAATTGTTGTCATTGAGCAAGTCCTGTTTAATGATGAGTTTGGATTGGAGGCCAGTTAGTGGCCAATTTTTGCCTTTGGAGAGAGGAATGTTGAATATGTTATAGAAGTGTCTTTTCTATTGAGATTTTGATAGTGTCTGTGCGAAAATGCTGCCGAATTTTTTTCAATAAAATTCAATATGTAAGAATAGTTACACTTACCTTTTTCTATATATAATATATTATATATATTAATAACCTTTGTATTGAATAAATGTTTGTATTGAATAAATGAACTTAGTGATTTTACATTTATATATAGTTACCCTTATTATAGAAATAACCTTAGTTAGTTATAAGTGTAAATTGAACATTAAATTAGTGGCATGTTTTAAGGATGGTTTAGACTAATGCAATTACATATAATTTACCCTTTATAAACACATTGTTAATTAGGTAAAAAAAAATGCGAAATAATCGAAATTGGATGTACTAGAGGTTCGAGGTCAATGGGATATTAAGACAAGAGTTCCTGCAAGGATTGGAGGCGTTTATACAGTTTGCAGTTGGTAATCCCACTTTTATGGATGGTAATAAGTTGAGGTGTCCATGTAATCACAAGAAGTGTCGAAATCGAGCCTTCTTAGACATCAATACAGTGAAACTGTGCAAAAATGGGTTCGTGGAAAATTTTATTACGAATGGATACATCATTTGTGTGAAGCTGACGTTGCCAGTTGGGTCAGGCCCACTCCATTCCGGTAAGGGTTTTAGAAGTTACAGCCTATATTCAATATTCTGTCATGGTTAATCAATGCAATGATATTGGTAATCGATGCGAGGTTAGAGTACAAATTGGAGTAGAGTAGAATGTCATTGGGATAATATGGAGGAATCACCAAACGTAGTAGCACAACAATTGTTTGACATGCTAAGTGCAGCTAACAGTGAACTGTGGCCTGGATACAAGAATCATTCAGTTCTATCTGTTGTGGCACGATTACTAAACATGAAAGCGGAGCACTATTTTTCAGAAAGGTGTTATGATGATTTTGTTCAGTTAGCAAAGGAAATGTTGTCTAAAGGCCATTCAAAGGTTGATATTTTTTATCAGACAAAAAAATTAGTTTGGGGATTGGGATTACCCGTTGAAAAGATTGATTGTTGTCGTAATAATTGTATGATATACTGGGGCGTTGACTCGGAATTCAGAGACTACAAGTTTTGTAATCTTTCTTCCAAGATATCAACCGGCGCGGTCAAGACGGTAAAGTACAAAGGAGAAGGGCTTTCAAAGAAGATGTATTATTTCCCTTCTTGTTTCCTCGCCTTCAAAGGTTATATGCATCAAAGGCGAAGCTGGAACACATGAACCTTGGCTGCTTTTGCATGAATAATGAGGATGGTATATTGGAACTCTCCGTCAGACTCTGAAGCGTGGAAACATTTGATAAATTCATCCTCTGTTTTGCTGCTGAAATAAGAAACGTGAGATTGGGGCTTTGTACTTGGATGGTTTCAGCGTTTGGCCAATCAGGACAACAACTATTCATCAATGGCCTATTCATTGATCACACCATATAATCTACCACGGAGGTGGGGGGGGGGGGGGGGGGTACAATGTGTATGAAGATGATTAATAATCATCATTCAATGTTTACAATTCAGATAGAATCCCTTAGTGTTTAAACGCTATATTTCATTTTTTTGCAGAAACATTTCATATGGGACGAGGCCATTTACACATTACGGCTATGCTGAAAGTAGCCTGGGAGAAGATATGCGCCGATCGATACGCTGACTTCACCTATAGGATGAGAAGAAGCGGTAAGAAACAACGGTGCGTGTCTCAGGAGATATGGGAGAGCTGGCAAAAGGCTTGGGAGGATCCTGCATTCAAGAGAAAGCGGGAGATGTTTGCACAAAACAGGCGCAGTGAGACTGGCGGGGATGGAGCAGGACCTTCGCGACACACAGGCGGATCTATATCTGCTATAGAGACAGCTCGATTATTAGTAAGTGAACTAGTCCCTTTGCAAGAAACTGATGTTTAATGAAAGGACAATATATATATTAATATATCATGCATAAAAATTCATTACAGGCTAAAGAATTAGGTCGTGAGCCCACACCGATGGTTGTTTACATACACTCACACGAAAAGGACCAACGATCGTGAATACCTTTGTTCGACAGACGTGCGCTGGTAGCGTCAATGTAAGTAACAATGAATAATATTTACATTTTACCCTCTAATCATTGCCGAAGATTGCTACAAAGTTCAATCATATAAAGCTTTGGGCAATTGCCATTGATTAATTAATTTTTTATTTTCAGGAGAACTATACATACACTCGGGAGCGTTATTGTTACTTTCTCAGACCGATGAAATCCGAAGCTGAGTCAAGAATTGACGACGGTAGCGCGTTCTATTTCGGGCTGTAGGGTCGCAGGAGGCGCAGAAGAGAGGAAGGTATACGGCATCGGGTCTCAGGCATTTCACAGTTTTACACTGGCCTCAGCAAGCTCACCGCTTCTTAGCCAGCGCAGCACCGCAGCCGGAGGGCACACTGCTCGCACTATGATGATGATATTTTACGGCTCAGCTTGCTTGATCAGCAGGAGGGACAGATATGCAGAGGCTTGTGAGCGCATGTTGCTGCGGCTGTCGGTTCTGGAGGGACCGGCTGGTACTTCTTCCTCTGATCCTGCGCCTACTACAGACCGAACTGTTTCGACGTCTCAGTAGCAGCCACTACCGTCTCCTGATCCCAATGCTGCAGGCGATACCTTGGTCACCCCTTCCGGCACTACAGCACATCCAGCAGGTACTCATCCCGGCGATTCGACATCAGATCGTGCGGATGAGCAACCGCGTACATTTGATTTTGGACCTTTTTAGTTTTTCATTTGTTCTTTTGTTCAGTACAATAACAATTACATTTTTATATTGTTCTTGAATTGAATTGCGTTTGTGATATATATATATATATATATGTCAATTATTGCATTTATGTCAACTTTTCACAGGTGTAGAAAAATTTTGGTTTCCAAAATAATAAATAATATTTAATTTTTTTTATTCCCTTTTCATTTTTGCGACCGATTTGCGACCGATTTGATACCAAAAAAAAATTTTTGAATTTATAAATTGCGACCGATTTGCGACTGATTTTAAAAATTTGCGACCGATATTCTGCGACCAAATTTGCGACTGAATTTCCAATTAAATCATGACCAAAAGTTGCGACCGATTATTCAATTTTGCGACCGACTTATCGGTCTCTGATTTGCGACCGATTTTCTCATCGGTCGCAATTTATATTTGCGACCAGTGATTTTGCGACCGACAAAAGTCGGTCGCACAGTACAAATAGCGACCGATACGATTTTTGCCATTTTGCGACCGATCGCAAATCGGTCGCAAAGTATAAATAGCGACCGATTTTTGCCATTTTGCGACCGATTTGTCGGTCGCAAAATGGCGTTTTTTTTGTAGTGTTAAGTTCTTGAGAAATTTATTTAATTAAATTAAGTAATTCCTTATACGGATTAGAGCAATCTAAACCCATGTATTTTATAATTGCGCAGTGTATATTGGTTGAAAAAAGGTTACTAGATATATCCATGCAACTTTCTAAAGAATTTGGACTTAATTTTACCATTATTATGGTTTATATTTGCGATTTAAATGTTATTGAAATTTCTTAAAAGCTTTCCACAACTATAAACTCTTTAAAGAAAAAATTATGATAACAAACATCTTGGCGGTTGTAGATTGAGCATCCATTAATGGAAGTTTTGTCTATTTATTTACATATATAATCATGATATTAAATGATTTGATATGTATAAAGCATATCCATGAAGTACATCTCGTTTCTGATCATTATTATCTCTTAGTGCAATAGTGGTGCACTAAGCATTCAGCTAGGTTTAAACCACACTGAATAAATTGTCATTGAAGAACTAAAATTTTGAGATGCAAATTGAATTGAATATAATAATGTAAAAAAAAAATAAAACCTCAATTTTGTTTGATGTATTTCTGGGCAATTTAACTTATTTTTTTAAATTTAACAAAAGCTAAGTTAACCTAAAACTAAACCGATTATCTAAAAGGCTTATTTGAACGAAATCGAAGACTTATTCGAATGAAATTGATATATGTTTGTTCAGTTTTATCAAAATTTGTTTAACTTTAATTAAATGTATCTTTTTAGTACTTGACATGTTACAATGTTTTTTTATAAATTTATTATTAGCAAAGTATAATTTTTATGTAACACAAAGACATTGTTTCTAGAAATTGTTATACAAATTGGAATGTTTAAACTCAAAAGTTATCAAATGATATCTTTATAAGAAATAGCAAATAATTCAAACGTTACGAATAGAAATTTCAAAATTTTTAAATCAACATTATACGAGTTGCTTTATATTCTACTCATATACTGCGTTTGGTGCAAGCACCAACCAGATGTTTGTCTCATTATACTTACTGTCAAGATCTTCCCATAAAATATTTCTTGTCATCACAACAAAATTAAAACTTAAACAAATAATTCTAAATCGGTACACTACAAATAATTCTTTATATAATGATGAAATTTTGATCGCTAACTATTATCATATTACGATATTTTTGTACTTTCATATGAGGTGTGATTAAAATTTTAATCAATGATTAAGTTGGGAGAGAATTGCGACATAAAAAAAAGTTATTTTAGATGTTAAACTGGGATTTGTCTTTTATAGTTGTCAGCCTATCATTTGCGCTTGGGGGCGCACTCTCGACCTTGTCGTTGGGCGAGGAATTATGGGCTGGACTTGTGTCGTTTAGAGGTGAGCGGGGTAGTGAATCATTGTAGTTTAGGGGACTGGCGTGACAGTGACGCAGTAGCTAGTTTTTGGATTTCTTCAAATTTTTTTTGATGATTTCCTACTCGAAACAAAATGTAATCAATATTTAACCTATGCCGGTGAATTAGAATTAATTTTTATTAAATAAATATTGGGTTTTAATTAATTAAATGAGAAAATATTATTTTTATAACTAGGTCTCAATAGATTAAGGTTATAATACCACATAGTTTTTGTTTTTACTATCACAAAATAAATATATTTAAACTATTTCATTTTTTATTTTCTGAGATAAAACGAATCGACACGCCAAGAGCTTTTTCATAAATCATTATGGATGCACGTAAAAGCCTCCACTATTTTTTGTCTTTATAAATTGTCATCAACATCATAATCAATGTTTAAATAGAAAATTAGTTGCAGTTGAATTTTCAAAAAATAGAAAATTATTTTTAAAAAAAAAATAGAAATTAGTTCCAACCCGGAAGAAAAAACATTATTTAATAAAAATAAATTAAGTTTTATGAAGGGTATTAATCTTTTGATTTAATAAAAATAAAACATTATTTATCTTCTTTTTCTTTTAAATTATAATTTCATATATACACACAATATGCTAAATTAGTGAGTTCTTAGACAGTATGCTAACTATTTTAGTACTTTTAGATTATTATTTAAAAATTAATAGTCCAAGTCAACATAACTTTAAGCAATATTGAAATTTTAAGATTTGCAAATTCAAATCTTATTGAGAACTAGTTAATAAAATAAAGTTATTAATCAAAATTTTTCATTTGAAAGTTTATTTAAATTATCAGGTAAATAAAATTATAGTACATATTATTATTTCCATTTACCATCTATCTTATTATTATTATAATTTCCAAAAGTAAGAACAGTAAAAAGCGAAATGAGTTTTTATTGCCTCCAAAAAAGAGTATTAAGATCATAGGAAAACATAAATATCTTAATAAGACTTTTTTTTTTTAAAAAAAAAATCTACTTAAAAAATGAATAACTTTGTTTATTTAATCTTCCTAATTTTTGAAAATTTTTTCCAACCTCTTAGCGTTGACTTCCTGTCTAAACTAGCTAGAACTTTTGCTTTGGGCACTCATGTTTTGTTGGACCCTCCTCCAAGGTTTGCTTATTAGCTCACCCATCATGTTAGTAGTGTAGTTCATTTTAGAAATTGAATCTAATTCTTAGAGCTCTTGCTTTCTATTTTATAAAAAAAATAATTTAAAGATGCGAATTATGAAATTTTACTCTCTTTTAATGTTATTAAGGGTGTCATCTCACCTTCCATTTAATAGTTAAATAAGAAACTAATTTATTTTGAGCCGGAAAGCAATTATGAAATCTTACTCAATTTAAATATTAGCGAGACACTGACAATTACTGAAACATATAACAGTTATTAAATAACTAATTTTGCTTTATAAAATCTAAAATTGTAAAATGGAAAACGATGAATCAAAAAATTTGCTTAGAATTACATGAAATTTAGTTTATTTTTCTAATCTAATCAAATGTCAATTATATATTATAATCTGATATATATTCTAAATTATGATTATTATTATAGCATAATATTTAATTCAAACGGTTTGCAAATCTAATAACAATAAAATTTTATGAATCTAAAATTTTAATAGTAATAAATAGATTTATCTAATCTTTAATGCTACTTGAGTCAATTCGAGTTTAAAAACTTTGAAATATTATGTAATGAAAAGTGAAAACGTGTAAAAAGACATTTCTATATTAAAAAAAAAAAAAAGAGAGAGAAACAAGCAACCATACCATTGCATTGGTTGTTTTGTATAGAACATGCATATGCACCACAGTCTCCAAGAGTCCTCTGATCAAGTACGTACAATCCCTTGGTTGATGGCCCCACCAAATCCACTTATCAAACCACAACTTAAAATCTCCATTGCCACCACTTTATCCTCGTCGTTTTCAATCCAAGCAATATCTTCTATCTCGTCTTCCACCATAATAACACAGGATTGCAATGTATCTAATTTCAAGCATTCTATGTCACTATTAGAATGGAGAAGGGGTTGGAAATGCAATTAAAGTAAAAAGTGAGGTTCAAATATAAATTTATATAACATAGTGGTAAATATTTAAAAAGTAATATTACAGCGTGTACTCAAACATATTTGATCTACTATATTAATATAAATAAGAATTACGATAGTATATATATATAATTTATATTTCTAACGTAATAACCATCGTTTCGTATTCTAAATACAGGGTCTTCATTTGAACATGAATTGCCACAATCTAAAGAATAACAAAAATATTAATTATTATAAATTATGAAATGTGTAAATCAAAAAGGATATGCTATCTTATACAATACCATGACCAAAATCTCTTATGTCTCTTATTTTCAACACATACAAACTTATATATATATACCTAAATAATTCTACAATTATTTTTAGATAATAGAGATAGAGTTTGTAATAATAGGCTAAGATTGTATAAGTAGATATTGTCTACATTTCTCTCTTAGACAACTACAAACAATTGTAATAAAAGGATAATTAGGTCCACGTAGGAAAACTAGAATATTAAACTAATTAGCACAATGACTTAAAACTGATAAAGTTTAAATTTAAAATAACATGAAAAGCTTTAACTAATCAGATTACGTAAAATGGAAAATAAACCCAATAACAATGACATTTATATGATTAAAATATGAGACAATGCCATATAAATAGTAATGCATATGACATTTTAATCAAATAATAAATTGACAACAAGTGTATTAAGAACTTATTTGACAATAACTTTTGAGTTAGTTTTTAGCGTTTTGATCAACTTAAAACTCTATCTCTGTTAATTATACTCTTTG